CAGGCCCCAGCAGTCAAATTGAATCCAGGAACCCATAGCTGATAGCTGGATCTCGAAGGCATCACCCGGGTTGAGACTGAAGCAATAGTCCCAGCACCGAGCTTCAGCTTTTCCCCTAGCCATGAATCTGAAAAACAGGAACGGGCTGAGACTGTAACCCTGAAGCACAAGCAGAAGCAATTGACCGTTGGCGATGCATACACAAGCTGAAAATCTTCTACTTCGCAGACTCTTCCACAACTGACTCGCCAGCAAACAAACATCTCAAGCTCAAGCGGCACACCTCCGGCTGCCGGCTGGAGCTGGTGCTCGGCAACGTGCCGCATGCGCAAGGCCGAGACAAGAATCGCGGCATGTATGGCAAGGGAACAACAAGGTCTTGCAAAGCCGTTACCTGCGAGATCTGCGAGCTGAGAGGATGAATAATTTCACCGCTCAGGACAAGGACGCCCATGGAAACTTTTTTATTCCTCCACGCCCTCTTTACGACTGCGCAGGAACAAGGGGTCCCAGTGCAAACTGCGTGCTACCGCCATCAACTCGGAAAAAAGTCAGCTCGCTTCTGCCAGGATCTCATGTAGCTCTGGCCGAAGAGGCCAGACTACCGTGCGACCCAGGCGGTGATCGTAGCCGGCTTGTCGCAGATGTGATTGCACGACGACTGCGGCGGCAATGGCGGAAGGGCGGCGTCGCCGCGCAAGGCTTGGAGGAGTCTGGTGGCGGCAGCGTGCACGTGCATGGATGACAGGCAGCGTGTCCTGCCAGCACGCCCAATGTGCGGCATTGCTGTCGTTACACGTGGGGCGGAACCCAAGCCCCCCGAACCGGGCCAGCTGGGCGGCATGCAAACTTGTCGGCGGGAAGGACATGTCCCCCTGCTCGAGCAACTCGGCCGGGCAACGCGCAACAGCGGAGTCATGCGCAGCGGCGTAGCCGGCTGTGAGGTGCGGTGGCAAAAATGCGCAGCAGAAGTTTGCGCGCGGAGCTTCGCAATTTTGGAGGAGGAACCAAGCGGCTTGCAGATCGTCAAGCAAGGGAATGCGGTCCAGAAGCCGGTCTGGCTCGACGCGTTTGCGGTGCAGCTGGCGCCCGATGAAATCATCATCATGCCCAAAAACAGAACCTAGCACGCTGACCCCCTGGCAGTCAGGAGGGAGGCACTAGTTGCTGACCCATACAGGCTCACTGCCACCAGCAGCCTTGGAGATTGAGATGGTCGTACCCCGTTACGAGCCGTCTCACATCATAGTTCCAAAATATTCAACCTGGGAGCAACGTTCCCACTTTCGAATCAAAGCTGTTTCGGTGGCGTCCGAGCACTTGATAGACATCTCTCATCAGAAGTCTGCCTCCGAAGTCCTGCAAGTATTTTTTTGGGCGCGCAATTTTTCGAGAGTCCGAAGATGGCGAGCTCCTGTCCAGGAAGTTGCAACGACATATTGGCATACCGCAACACACCGGGAGTCACAGCCCTCCCTTGGCCTTTATGGTTCAGCATTTCAACTTTACCAGCTTTACTGGTTGGACCTGTTTTGACATGGGTATAAACATAGACTCGGTCCGACCGTCGTTGGACCGTGTCATACGATACGATACGATAGGAACCATGGACAACTGACGGATTTGGACAGTAACTCAAGCGACTCGGCTACGCAATTAAGCACCTCAGACACCTCACCGAAGCCAAAACCCAAACAAAACAACTGTTCGAGCCTGCCTGCTCTCGCTTGCATGCTGTCGTAAACCACGTATTCTTTGCCTTTCGTGCAGCGCTGGGGGAGCGGGGGCGCTTGAGACGTCATTTAGAACTGCTTCAGCCTCGTTGATGCACCTAGCCCCACCCCCGAGGCTCGGAGCCACCGACCAATCCCAAATGCATTGCCAAGGTTTATTTAAAAAAAATTGAACGGCACCTTTTTCCGCCCGCCTGAAGTAGTCCCTGCCGGCGCTCACGGAGTTGCGTTCAGAGTCTGCTGTGCGCGGGCGGCAGGCAACCCGCTAGAAGTTCCCCCAATAAGACGCTCTTTCGCTAGCAGACACACAGGAAAATGAGCCTGGCGCGGCTGACATGCAGCGCGCCGGGGGTGTGCCGGGCGCATCCAGCAGCGGGTGAACAGGTCGCCGAGCACGCTTGGCTGGTGGGCCTTCCCACCAAAGAGTTCGGGACAGCGACTTCCGGAGACCTGACCTTGCGCACACTCCAAACTGTATTTCGAAGGTGGGCCAAGAAACCCAAAGGAGACAACGATGCCCTGTTGGCGTGCATGCTGCAGTCTTCAGAACCCCATTGCAAATGTGCATAGACATCGGTGTTGCAGGAGCACCATTTTTGCTCCTTCCGGAAGGAGTATAGGCCCAGGCGAAATGGAGCGCTCACTGCGCCCTGCTCCATCCGAGAGCCGGGGTCGAGCGACGGCCCAGCCCTGGACCGTGTGCTCGACCACGCCGCCGACGAAGGGCCCAGGTCCATTTTCTTCTGGAAGGTTCACCCGTTTTCGTGAGCTTGGCAAATGGTGCAAGTGACAGGGAGTCTCGAACTTGTGATGTGCGCGCCAGCTCCACAAGGCCTGCCAAACTCATTTAACCTTCGTTATCAAATTCGTTTGGAAGCATGCACATCTGGCACGTGCAAAGAAGCTACAAATCTTCTCGGCTTGTGTGGTTTCCCGCTTGTTATATTCTCCTCATACAGCTTGCCTTTGTAAAGCTGACTTGCACAGAACTGATGCCTTTCAAGCCCATTGCCTTCGTTCCATCCTCGGCATACCACACTGATTCATCAGCCGCGTGCGCAACGAGACTGTGTTACAAGAAGCTGGCACTGAGAAACTTTCTCACACTTTCAATCATTCTTTGGCGCCGACAGCCGCTACTTTTGGGGCGCATCGCGCAACTTCCACGGGAGGATGTCATGCGAACCACATGTATTTTCCATGATGGAACGTTTCAGCCGCGATGGCATGACGGACTTCGGACGCGGGTATGCCCAAACAAACCTGGCTTTCAGAAGTGTTTCGCATGGCTCCGGCTATGCGCGGTGATCGGCTCAATTTAGAGATCTTGTGGAACCAAACTCCAACAGTCTGGCGGCACAAAGTGGTCACATGCAGTTTCACACCATTGCCACATCAGCGAAACGGTTGAGTGGCCTTTCATGCTCCTATGTCTCAACATGAGGCTTTGATCTGACCTTCAAGACATTCGGAGCTCAATGCCGTCCCTTAGCCTGAAAATCGGATTGAGAATGCTTTCGTTTGCTGTCAATTGGTTTCCATGACTCGAAAAACCTTGTCGGGGCTTGGAAAACAAAGGTATTGCTGCTTCATGTTCGCTGCAATGCGATGGCCTGGACTCAAAGTCTTCCAGGTCACAACGACTCACTGGGTTTGCGGGCGGATCTAGCTGAGACGTCCAGAAGACTAGCGTTCGGAAAGGCATACTGAGGTTCAACGGGGTGCATCTCTCCGCGATGGGGTTGGAGATTGAGCGATGCGATGTCTTTCGCTTTCATCTGAACACCTTTTTTCGGGGCACAGTGCAACGACGAAGCTGGCAGCGCACGATTTAGGACGGCAACGAACAACTCGCAGACTCCAAGTGCAAGCCGTGCTCAAGCTATGAATCATTACGCCCAGCAGTTGAAGCCTGGTGGTCGAATTAAGCCGAGCAAATGCCCTCCAGGATGCTCAATGTTTTGAAGGGGCGCAGGGACTGAAGAAACGCAATCGAAGCTAAACCGAAACAAGCAACGATTAGCAACACCGGTACCCTGCGGGCAGCAGCCTTTGGACGTCGACCGTATCAGGCCCAGCGGCAGTAGCATAAGACCTTTAAAGCCCGAAAGAACGAGGACACCTTATCAGAAAAAGGAACGACCGGCGATCGGTGGAAGTCGCATCGCTGCAAGGCAAACCCTAAACAGGCAAGAGCAGCCCCAAAGCCCCCGAGCCACCACAACTGGCATAAATGGTAAGCGAAGTCTGAACCGTAGAAATGCATGGCTGTGCCGATTACACGTCGATGACTGGAAAGTTCAGGGCTACAAGCTAACGACGCCCTGCGTGTTGTTCCGGAAAAAGGGAACCATGGAGGTCTGTCTGTCCAGAGTGGGCTAAGGTTGCATCGGATACTCGGAGATAGTGAGCGAATTGGTACGAACCTGTGGAGCATCTCTACATCCCTGCACAGAGGTTGCACTGATAGGGCGCGGGTTTGTCAAAGTGGGAGACGGTCTTTCCGGGATTCCATCATAGCACTCCGTGGAACACTGGCTCAAACAAAGGACGGATGGCAATCACTCAGCACACAACTTACTGTAAACGCTACGGGACGCTCTCCTTGCAATCGACAAACTGAACGGATTTTCTACTGTCACAGCATTCGAGTATGAATCTCGGTTGGAGCGACAGCAGTCTGAACAGCTTGTCGCACTTTGACAAACTGCAGCGACAACACGTTACCGGTCGGAGTTGACAAGAACATAAGAAACACAAAAACACATGTCGACCCGAACGAGACTCCAAGAAGCTGACAAGATAGGGACCGGATAGGGATATCCACGGCATTAAAGGCCCAGAATGCTGAGATCAAAATTTTCTGCATATCTTTGGCCTTCCTGCACCCGTCGAATTTACACCTGATCCCATCGGGGCATATCACAGCCCCCGCTTCGATGCTGAGTAGTGCAGCATGGCTTTCGCTCAGTTGGAACTGGAGAGAAACATCACGATTCTGCCCTGAACGTCGGTTGCTTCCGCGACACCGTGAGGGGGACAAGCACTGCCCGGTGCGCTCATAATCCGTTTGGCAAGCTTCTCGCCGTGGCGAGAGAATGCCATCACACTCACTGACTCATTCAACCACTACGTAGGTTTTGGCCGCAGGCCTCAAACCGTGCCAGCGTTGTCGTAGCTTTCGTCATGTCCGTGTATCGCACCCTGCGGAAACTACCTTCAAGAGAGCATGCTGTCATTTGGGTTTACATTTGATTCCTTGCAGCCTTAATTTCGGAAAAGACCAGCCTGGCTCGCGGAACCCCTTTTTTGCTTGGCAGGCTTCTGGAGCAGAATCTCATTGAAGCGTGCACCACCTACCGCCCACCTGAGGGCCTCGAGTGTTCCATCAGTTGGTGAAATGCCTTGGCTGACCATTTGCCTGAACAACTCCTCCGCAAAGGCCTTTTCAGTGGGGCCTCTCGGCGATGCTTCTGCACAGGCTCTAAGAAGTTGGTTGTACTGAACGACTGTGGCTACAACCCCACAGCGCTGCATCCTTCCGAACCACCGGGCTGCTGTGTCAACATCTCCAAGTCGGGCATGCCCATTGATCAGCGCGCTGTAGGTTTGAAGTGTAGGCAAACGCTGCATGGACTCCAGCTCCAGAAAGTAGGCTTCCGCTTTGGCCATGTCTCCAGCTCTAGCATGTGCTTCGACTAGGGTCGTGTAGCAAACGACGTCTGGCGACAATCCGCTTGACAAAGCTTCCTGAAACCACTGCTCGGCTAGATCTGTCTTGCCTGACTTGGCAGCTGCATGAATAAGGGAAGTGTACATCACCACATCCGGCTTTATCCCCGCAACGAGACCCGCTCGGAACCAGCCCTCGGCAGACTCAGCATCATCCATCTGAGAAGCGATGCTGACCATGTTTGTGAACGTCACCATGTCTGGACGATGCCCTGCCTCGATGGCCTTTGCAAACCAGCGCTCTGCTGGGCGAAGCCCACGCACACCGACCGCATTGATGATGGCATTGAAGGTCTGAAGATTCGTGCGAAGGCCCACGCGTCGGATCTCATCGAACCAAGTTTCTGCAGCCTCTGCTCCGGTTGCGTTGCCACTCTTCCCACAAGCTGTTATCATTGCGTTGTACAGGGCAATGTTCCTGCCTAAGCCATGCTGAGATGCCATCTGTATCCAGGATTCCGTAGCCATCAATCCCTGTTTGGCAGTTATCTGAGCCAGATTGATGTACGTGTTCATGCTGAAATTGAGTCCCATTTGTCGGTGTCCATCCTCCACAAGGGACACAGCAAAGGCATGCTTCCCCTGACGTGCTGCGGTCTGCGCGAGTGAAACCACTGAGGCATTGTCCAACTGAATCTGATATTGCTTCGCGGTGTCGAACCATCGTGAGGCCGCAGGCACATCACCACTTTGCACAACTGTCTTCAAGAGGCTCTTAAACATGACATTGTCGGGTCTTATGCCCTTTGCCAGAGCGACTTGGAACCAATGTTCTGTCGCATTCAGATCGTTCTGTCGCCCAGCTGCATTCATCAATATGCTAAAAGTCTTTCTGTTGGGGATGATGCCACGAATCTCGCATCTCTTGAACCACTCTTCTGCCGAAACGAAGTCTCCAGACCTCACCGCGGCGCTGATGATGGTGTTGAACGTCACCTTGGCAATGCATCCGTTCTGGGCTAGTCGACCCCTCCGATTTATGAGCCAGGGGTGTGAGTTGTCGCTAGTGTGCCGCTGAGGGAGGAACTAGCGTCGGCTGCAAACCGCGAGAGTCGGCACGCTGGAACCAGGACTCGGCGGCGGAGAGGTTGCCCTGGCGAGCCGCTGCGTCCATCACGGCCGTGAAGATCTGGATGTCGAGCTCTAGACCTTCCTTCGTCGCTTCCTGCAGCCACACCTCTGCACTCTGAAGATCCCCTGCCCGTGCTGCGGCTTTGATCAAGGTGGTGTAGGTCACTAAGCTGGGCTTCAAGCCACGCGCAGTTGCTTGCTTGAACCAGTATTCAGCTGCCTCTGGAACGCCAGCGCTTGATGCGGCTTTTATCAGAACGTTGAAGGAAGGCAAATCTTGTGCTAAAGCTGATTGTCCTGCCTGCACTCCATTCTCAAAGAACAACTCCGTCATCGAGAGATTGCCAACCGAGGCAGCAGCATTCATCAACCTCCGCAGTGTATCAATACTTGGGACAACCTCTGCTCGTTGCAACCATTTCTCGCCGGCGTCGAGGTCACCCCTGCTGGCCGCTGCTCTCAACAATGCCTCGTTGGTTGCTTTGTTCGGAATTTTCCCGCACAGCGAAAAGAAGACCTCCGCTACTTCCAAGCGTTCTTGAGCTGCTGCTTCTTGCAAAAGGTCCCCAAGCAGTGGTTCATCAAGCTCCGCACCCAGTCTGGCCGCCTCCACAGCGTACCTTGAAGCAGCTTGTAGGTCTCCGAACTTAGACGCCGCCTCGAACAGCAACTCCAGAGTGAATTTGTCAGGATCAACTCCTGCCTTCTTCGCATTTTGGAGCCAGCGTTCAGCTGCTCGTAAGTCACCCTTCTTAGAAGCCTCCTCGATGAAGTTATTGTAAAACTTTAGATCCGGCTCGAAACCTGCAACGTTCAACTCCAGAAACCAGCGCGGCAGGCCGTCATCTGGCCCACTGGCACTACCCCCCTCCTCCCAATCTCCAGCCTCTGATGGATCATGTATTGGTCGCGGCTGTGGCAAGCTGATTTTGTCATCCAGAAGCTTGCGCCTTGCCAATAGGCAATGTCTCGAGCAGATGTGCCCTGGAGCTTGAAAAAGACGCTGGGAACGGCCTCGACAAAGAAAGAGCCGCTCCGTTCGCTGCAGGTGCACAAGGGTGAGGACGATCCCGATCAAGCTCAGCAAGCTGCGAGGCTTTGACCGCATCCTCTGAGCCTCCGAGCCTCGATGGAAGGTAGCAAGGCGAGGCTGCGACAAGGCATTCGTCTCAACCCGAAGTGCTTTGCGCACTTGCCCGTGCTGTCAAACATACATGAAATCCCTGACAACCAGTTGTGATGTACAGTGTCAGTCTCATGCCTCAAGCTAGGCTGATGATCGATAGACAGCTGCAGGAAGACTGCCCGAATCCGGATGGCACCAGTAACCAGTAGCTATTAAATATACAAAGGCTTTCAGGACGGGATACCATGAGATTTGGATTTGGCCGTTCTGCGACAGGTACTCTTGAAGAATTTCTAAGCTCTGAAGGCAGCTGGTGGCCACATTTTTCCCGGCGGCATCAGTTGTAGCGGACGCGGAGTCAGAGACTGTCTCACACTGCGAAGCGTCGAAAATGACCAGTCCGGCGGGAGCCTCGCATCTTTGACGGCTGCAAACTCGCGGCTCTTGTCCCGCTTTAGCCGGTCTAAAACTTGGCAGGGGTAAGGACGTGCATTGTTGGTCAGCGCAACCGGGTGCGAGACTTTGAATTTAACCTTGGCAGGCGAGTTGTCTGCATGCATGCCACGCAAGGTCCACGAAAGGATGCATCATGCTGCTCTCCCAAGGCTCCGGGCCACCGAAAAGTCGATCCGTCCCCGCTTTTAGCATGGTCTCAGCAAGGTCTTGACCAGCACCTTAGACGTAAGCGGGGCCCAGCCGGCGATCACAAGCCGATTACCAAAACCAGAGAGAAAAATGTCTAATTCAAAAGAAGGGAACTGTAAGCGTCGCTGACGGAGAAACCACGGGCCCAGTCTCCTGCGTTGCCCCGTGTCACCATCATCGAGTCAAGCTTTCAGTATCAGAAACGCATGGAATACTTGCTAAAAACTACCACGTTGAAACAACGGGAGACCTAATCCCGGTCCGGTCCTGTCGCCCCCATGCCAACATCGCCATCCCAAAGAGGTGGCGACAAGCCGCCGCTATCTCCGGTGCCGCTGTAGCCCAACGCCCGGACCGGGAACTCACCCGACGGCCGTGCTCCACCAAGCACTGCCTGCGAGCGATTGGCTCGGCAAAACACCCGAATGCCCTTGCGATGATGCGTGGGCTTCTGCTTCGTTTCCTGCTCGATGTCTTTCCTGCCCATCCCGGAGCGTTCTTAATGTCTCGGCCGCCCATCCCGCTTACCCGGTTCTATTATGTTCTAGTCTAATTGCTTTGTCCTGCGTCCCTTGACACGGGGCTCTTCTACTGCAATCGCTTTGTCACTTTGTCCCTTGATACCGAGCTCCCACCGCTCCACAGCATTCCCTGCACCCAAAGAGCGCGTCCGGACATTGGCACCGCCCCAGAGCATTCCGCACCTCTCCGGGCTGTTCGAGTCCCCATGACGCACGCTTGTCGAAAGCTTCGTCTGGTCGCTGACCGCTTGACAGCTCATCTGGTTGCTTGCTAAAAACCCGTAAGGTATAATAAATGTCAGTGCATGTGTCCTTATGAAATGTTTCCTGCCCGCTCATTTATTCCTGCCGGAAACCGAAGGTCGGGACGAGCCACTTACATGGGAGACAGAGCGAACAGCCTGTGCCTCGGTGTTGTTGCCCCAGCGTCCACTCAGCACGAAGGACGGTTCCGGGGGCCAGAACCCCAAGACCTGTTCCAGAAAAGAAAGGAAGTCGTGGAGCAGCACACGCTCGACCTCCTTCTTGGACCACTGTTTCCATGCAGCCCAAGAGTTCGTGGAAAATATCATGAAGCATTGTGGAACACGGGCCCGTTCAGGCTTGGAGCTGTTGACAGCAACCCAAGCCAGCGAACCATGTCCCTCAACTGTTGCGGCATCCCAGGGCATCGGCAGCTCACGATCAAAGGCGACCATTAGGTTCCAGAGCTGCGATGTCTTTGTGCGGCCTGACAGCTGCTTGCGCAGCGTTGGCGTCACAGACGGAGCAACTTGCTTGTATCCAGACTTGCAGCCTTGCAGGATCTTGTTGGCCTCGAATGCCAGCACTACCGCATCAAAGCTTCTCGACACGGCCTCTGTGGCACCCTGGGCTAGCTCGGGGCGATATCGCAGTTGCCCAGCGTTAGCTTCTGCGCGGCTCCACTCGACACCCCAACGGCCCGTTTTGGGCGAGCGTCCAATTACATGAGCTGTTCGATCAACATGGATCTCGAGATTGCAGCACTTGTCGGCCAAAGCACGCCCTATGGCAGACATTGATGGAACCCCAACAACAAGCCCATCGACGGAGACATCACTGGAGGATGTGATATTCCACCGGGTCCAATCACCCTTGCAAAGGATGCGTTTAAAGCGTCCTGGCTGCGGCCAGGGCTGCACGACGCCTTCCAAGTCGTCTGCCAATGGCCCGGCCGGCCGCAGCAGCTGCACGCCCATGTCAAAGTGAAGGGTTGGATCATCCTTACCATTTACAAATTTGGTGCACAGCTTGCCGCCAAGACCACGGCTTTCCTGGACCAAGGTAACCTGCAGGCCGGCATCGCACAGCCTTCGACAACAACCCAAGCCACTTGGTCCCCCTCCGATGACACAGACTGACCTGGTGCTCGTGCTCTGAAGCGACTCTTTGACAGAGTCCGGAGCTTCACCTCAGTGATCCAAGAAACAGAAGAAACTAGATGTGGAGCTACTGATTGGGTCTCAAGGCCTTGAGGGTCATGGCTGGCATAGCCACCCAGATCCATCGGGGCAGAGATCTCGTCTTGGGCCGCTTGGCTCTTCCAGCGCCGCTTCGGTCTGGCTTGAAGTTCCATGGCTTTCTGATCTAGATCACGATCAAACTGACAAGGGCATTCTGCCGTGCTTTGTACGCGGGGTGTGTATTCAGTTCCATGAGCAGAGGATTGAAAGAGGGGCCGGAACCACTAGGCACGGGAATAATGGCTGCTCAATCATGTCAGGCTAGGCACACCTCGCTTGCTTGACTTCTTCGTGCCACAACTACCACAATAGAATCACATGAGAACCACCACAGCAGCTCCTACGGATGTTGCGTCTGCAGGCAGCACGATGTCGCATGGAAATTGATACTGCCAGAGATGCTCGCTGAACGACCTTTGGAGCACCCTTCGTCTTTCACGCTTCCTACACAGACCTAGTGCAAACGGACTCGCTGCATGTCAAAAATTGATTTGAAACATCCACTTCTTACTTGTGTCACGTCCGTCACCGTTTGATGCTCACTTGCTTGCTTGCTACTGACACCATCAACACCGGCAAGCAACAAACCCATGATGCTGTCCAGCACTGCTATAGCACCCCAGGTGGCTTCACTACACATGCAGGAAAAGCTCTAAGGCAACGTCTCTTTTGCAGGTGAGGCTTCAGCGGCTGCTCTTGCTAACCTGCTCATTTCATACTCGCCTGTGGCAATGCCCAGAGCAGACACCCGAATCAACGTTGCCACATGAGGACACCCTTGGTCTGCCAGGTCCCTTGGGGACCGGTCCCCCAACCCTTGGCCTCTTCTGAGGGGGCGCGGACGACGAAGATTCAGAGCCACTGCCAGACTCGGAGCCCTGAGAACTATCACAAACCCAACTAAACCTCATCTCATTTCTCATTGAGGCTTCAACGCTGCTCGAGGATTCGCTCTCACTCGACCTGAACAACCGGTCTGACAGCCCAACTCACCCGGAGCATGGCACAGAGTAGCCCAGACAAGCACAATTGTGGGCAGAGAGAGAAAGTGATTCAGAGAGACACAATGTGCACTCAACATAGATGCCGACTGCTTCTTCTTTGTTTTTGCTTTGCCTGCAGTCGCCACTGGAGGCAGCAGGTCTCTGCATCACAGCACTCCCGGCGTGCCTTTGGCCTTGGCCTTCGGGTCCTTTGCATCCTTCGTGGGCTTCTTGTCCTTTGAGATGGTGGCCTCCGAAGCCGGCAGCTGGAGGCAGCTGGAGGAGAGACTGACACGCGACGACGAGTCGAGCTTCAGTGGGAGCCTTCACGGCCTTCTTGGCCGCCTCACCGGCCTCTCAGAGTCGTCAAAGAAGGACGGCTCTCGCAGCGGAAGCTCTTCGGGCCTGGCCTGGGCCTTGGCCTTGTCGGTCTTCTTCACCTTCTCCTTCTCGGCCTCGCACTTTTAAGGCCACTCTGCTGGGGACAGGTCGTGATGATTCAACAAGGCAACTTTGCACAGGGCGGAAAGCCTTCTCGGATTTCTCTGGCTCCTTGGCCTTCGTTTTGGTGGCTTTGGGCTTCTCAGCCACCTGCACGTGCTTCAATGTGATATGTCTTCCGACATGAAACAGGGTTCAGTGCACCAAAAGAGGACAGCCCCTTCACATCCGACGTTTCGAACCAATGCGTTCAGCATCGAGTCATCACGAGTTGCACTACCGAACCGTCGAAAGGACCTTGGTTTTTTCTTCCTTTTCTTTGGCCTTCGGCTTGGCCTTCCAGAGAGACTTCGATGGCAGGATGCTCACACTTTCATCGTGCCGCAGCTTTCTCACGTCATACCTTGGCTTTCTCGTCTTTATCTTTCGTCTTTGGCTTTTCCGCGGTCTGCAACGGGCTGCGACGTAGGCAGTGAAGTCAATCAAGGATCATCTTGGCCCGACAGCCAGCAGTCACAGCTGGAGACGGCCATGAAGGAGCCTTTGACTTCACCTTCGGCTTCTCTTCGGCATCTGCCTTTGACATTTCCAACTGGACTGCCCGCGATCGGCAGAAACACTCTTCGGAGTGTACGGTGTCCCGGCGCCTCCTTCTTCTTTTTCACCGCGGGCTTCTTCTTATCTTCCGCATCCTCGGCATGGCGTGGCCGTCGCCAGCGCATTCGGCTGTCTCCGCAATCAATGCAGGCTCAGGGAAGTAGGGCTCTCCTTCGCTTTGGTCTTTGCCGGCGCTTTGGTCTCCTCATGTCCGGGCTGACATGGCGTGTGATGAGGACTGACATTGCAGACGGCAGAGACAAAACAAGCACAGCGTTGCTGGAAGAGTGTCCTTCTTCTCTTCCTTCTTCTCGTCCTTTTTGTCTTCCTTGTCTTCCTTTTTCGGGGCCGGCTTCTTGGCCTTCGCCTGTGGAGCCCGACATGTCTCAAGCAGACGAGTCCCTTGACCTCTGGCACCTTGGGAATCGAGTCCTCCTCGGAGTCCTCAGAGTCAGACTCGTCCCTCCTGGCTCGGGCCTCGAAAGCACGCTTTTTGGGCGCAGGCCTTTTGAGAAACCAGGCCGGGCCCCTGGCCTTGGCCCGTTCTCGTTCTCTTTCCTGCACTTGAAAGCACCAGCATCTCGCATCTCGTGCTCTAGAAGACAAGAAGAAAGCTCTGGTGCAACCATCAGATGCGCTGCGAGATGCCCAGCCTTTTCTTTCTCTTTCTCCTTTTCACGCTCCTTCTCCTTGTCTTCGCGACAGAAGAAAGCCGCGAGAGATTCGCATGCACGGAGGCTGTGAAGCTCTAGGCGATAAGAGAAGGACTCAACAGCTTCTTCCGTGCAAACGCAAGATTAAAAGATCCACCCCGCTGGTTGGACACCTTGGCACGCTCCTTCTCTTTCTCTCGATCTCGGTCCCGATCCTCGGACAATGCGACGGGATGCAGGGACAGATCATGACGCTTGCCTTTTCACACTCTTCTGGCGTGCCAGGAAAATCCACACAAAGACAAAACCTTGAGGACTCGAAGCTTCTGGCTGCAACGCACAGCAAGAATCCAAGTAAGTCGGGAGTTTCAAGAGCAGAAGGTTACATTGGCAGAATCTCAGCTCTTCTCCCGGTTACGGTCACGATCTCGATCCCGATCCCGGTCCTTGCTCACAGCACATTTTTATCAACGGTGAAAGACAAGAAACACAACGAGTTCGTTTAAGGATGCGACTCGGCCGCTGCGATCCTCCCTGGCCGGAATTGGTAGGAGCTTTCCATAAAGTGAAAGGGATAGAAGGGATAGGGGTACCAGTGTACCATGATAGGGGTTGAAAAGGCAAGCGACTCGGTCGCCTCTTTGTTGCCTCAGGTCGGCGCTCGCGGTCGCGATCTCGGTCCTGCACGGTTGGCCGAGCTTAGATCTCGGCAGAAGCAACACATCGAAAAGAACAGAGCCCCGGTACCAAAACCAAAAGGAACGGCTCCCGATCGCGATCCCGTTCACGCTCATGCTGCTCGCGTTTCTCGCCGCGTTGCTCTCGTTCCTGACGGACTTGCGCCTCACAGGTGACAGCTGCGACATACTGATGCTCTCTCGTCGAGGCCACGGGCCGCTGAAGTGGAGTTAGGTCCCACGCCACAGGAGCCGTTCGCTGCACCTAAATGCCATTCTAGCCCTGTGTTCTTCACATTTGGACATTCCTTTTGCTCAAAAACCTCGCATGCATGTGGCGATGGCTCTCGACACTGCGCATTCTCCGAGACTTGAACTCGCGGCCGCATCGGAATGGCTGGTGCATGCTCCAGCCTGGCTTTTGGGGTGGCGGCCTCTCCATGTCTTGAAGCAGTTGTTGACTGCCTTCGCTTTCGGTCAGCCTGGTGCTCGACCTGTCAGCAGCCAGCTCTAACAAACGGTTCCGACACCACAAAAAAGCCAGAGTCTACCGGAAACTGATCAAGCTTGGGGCTCTTATGACATTCCCATCGATCTGCCCGCTGTTCATGTGGGAAATTGCCCGATCAGCCTCGAAACGAAGCGCAAAAGTCTGTGTTTAGCGGCGTCTCTGAGACCCTGCAACGATTCAGTCGCAGGCATCTCTTTCCTCGTAGAACTCGACATAGGCATAGCCTCAGGCGCACGTGAGGAGCGGTCAGCCGAGAGTCTTGCGGTCTGGGCTGAGCGGAGCAGAAGCAATCGGCTGAGTTCAACACCTTTGGGAAGACCGGCTGCCTTGTCGATGGCTAAAGTTGCCTCTTTGACCTAGCAAAACACGTCGGACGGTGTTTAGTGCAAAGGATATCCGGCTGAACTTTCCGGCCTTGCCATAGTTTCCGAAGATCTCTTTGAGATGGTCTTCATTCACCTGGAAAACGCATTGCTCACATCGTCTGCAAGCACGAGAAATCTGTACAAGTAGGACCTGCATCAAGAAACAGAAGCTTGGCAAGAGCAGCCATGCCAACAGCTTTGCCAATGCAGGCGAAGCTGCATTTCGACTGAGGTTGGAGATGGCCAGGGTCTTTCGATCTTCCCGCCTGCGAAGCCCGCGCCACCGCTGACCGAAGTCCGAAGTGCAATTGCAAGGATGAGTGGATCAAACTCTTTCTGATGCGCCACACGCATGTCCATGACTTGCCAGCACTCGAAGGGACCGTTTCGTCGAAACAAGGACAAAACCGCTGTTTTGCGAGCACCTTCTCTCTCTGTCTTTGCCACGGCTACGACTTCTGTCCTCTCAACCCGCACATGACCGACAGGTTGCTGTGGCAGAGGCAGCTGGGGCGAGCAGTCCTTGCCGCGGCTGCGGCTTCGGTCCTTGGCTTCTGCAAGCTAGTGCAAGTAAAACGTCAACAGAACGGACGGTCACTTCCAGCTGGGCCAGGAACCCGATCTCTTCGGTCCTGGTGCAGCGGGCGATCGGCACATGCCCACCCGAGAATTCATCCCTCGCAAGAGAAACAAGCCGCAGTCCTTGCCGCGGCTACGACTTCGGTCCTTACAGATGAACGCAAACCGCTAAAGCAATCCAGAACGGAATGTTTGGGGCAGGCACCCGATCTTTCCGGTCCTGCAGCGGATTCCAAGGCGAACTCACAGCAACTCCAGCACTCTTGTCTTTCTCGCAACTCTCTGCCATTTACTGCAGCCAGAAGCAGGACACATAGGACTTGCAATCGCGTTGTCTCCGCACAATCCCAAGGCCGATTGCTACAAAGCTCAAGGTATCTGCAACCTCCGAAAGCCTGCACCCAGATCCATCGAAGTTCAAAGCTCAGGTCTTGTCCTGGCTCTTTCCTGACTTTTGGCTGGCAGCATCCTCCTGCAAGGACTTTGACACTTAGGGTACAACATGGTACAACTGCAACTGGGAGAAATTGCAGATTTGGCGGGGCCAAAGAGAGCCTCTTTCTCTTTCTCCGGGCTCTTCGAGGTCCGGTCGGCATCCTTGGAGCCACAGGGCTGAGAGTTTTGAAGGCCCAAAACCTGTGCGGTTCGTCCAGGGCTCTGTGTGTTGAAGTGCTCCTGGCTTCGTTCACTCTTACGACGTCTTACGATGCAGCCTGCAGCGAGCTGCAAACACAACGGATGAGGGAGAGGCTGGTGGATGGTGCTGTTAGTGTGTCGTCCGAGTTGGCTGCAGCACTGAGGTGCATGGAGTCATATCTGCAGAGCGGTCCGACAAGGAGATGAGAAGTATGAGAGCATCTTGCAAGGACTCCGCACCTGAAGGTACAGGCTTTTGGACACCCCTTTGAACTAGGCAGGTCGAAAGCCCAAACCGAAGCACATCTATGATCGCAATGCCGAGCACGGAACACAGTGTGCACCAGTGCACCTCAACCTTCTACTTCCAAGGCTGCGACTTTGATTTGCTGCCCCTCGACGAGGTCTGGGTCCTCCCTTAGTCAATGAAAAGTTTTTCAATTATAGACTGCTTCACGTTTCAAGCTTCCCCACATTTGGCGAACTATGTTCAGACACGGTAGAGTTCCCACCAGAAATGGAACCAATGCGTCGAAGCGGCTTTTTGGCCGAGTTCACGTCCTCCTTCTCTTCATCATCTTCCTCACCGACATACATGACAGCCAGCTGCGGTGGCTTCGAAACACGGGGCTCTAATGGTAGGGCTTGCTTCAGATCGTAAATCTGGAAAATTCTGCCGTCTCTGGTTGCACCAGCCACCATCAACTCATGGACAGCTGCTTCAACAAGCAAGACAAAGTGCTATCCAAGTGTTCGAAACCACATCCACAGAACCTGGTTGTGGTCACTGCATCAAGAGAAGAACTATGCCTATGCCGAGGCACCGGATCCATCGCATGCGTTCTGGAAAAAGACGCGGACTCTGTAGTTCCCAAAAACGTCTGCACAGTATGAGCCGAAGTGGCGACGTGTCGCATGTCCACTCAAAACCAGTAGCTAGCTGAACAGGCACGTGGAGTAGACCGTTTGATGCACACTCAAACAGGCTCCGGACAAAGCATCAAACTTGCGAGTATGTTGTGCATAAACACACACGATAGGGTCGCAACAGTCACTTGATACCAAGATCGAACTCGAATGAGATCCGACGAAGATTATGTGCGTGACATGTAGGTCTCTTGCACAAGCTCTGCGACACCACTTCAGCCTGCCATTCCCAAGAACTGGTGCAAGGCAGACAAAGCAATCACAGCAATCAACGCAGATATTCCTTTATGTTTTGGTTTCAAATGAGCGGAACCCATCTGCTTTTCCTTGCACAATGCTTTATTGTGATGTCTGTCCACGTGCAGAACGCAATCTGCAATGCGGCACACACATGTCGAACCACATGCTGAGCCTTGCGTGCGGTTCAAAACCTTGCTTTCCTGCATTGCAAGTCGCCATCGATAATCTGTAATTACAGCAACTTCCGCTGCTTAGCGTGACCTGTGCCTGTTTATGTTGCCCAAGGGCGCAGAAATCTTTCGAACGTGCATAATTGTTGCCGCCCGAATCACGAAACCGGTGCAGATGTCGTCCGAACAACATTGGGATATGTTGGGAATAGCCCGGCATACCAGTAAAAATCTGGGGCGACGAAATCCGTTCGAACAGGAAACTGGAAAAATGAATTGCGCAAACAACACCAGGAACAGGAACATAAATGGCTATCAATCGAACAAGCGACCAGTCCATCTCGCGCGGACGGAGACGAAGGTTTGCGCTCGGCTCACCAGCATGGCAGTCCTTTGCCTCCACTGCAAAAAGCGACGGTCTTGCGCGAAACCTTATCTTTTTCCGAAGGTTAAAGCGTGGACGCCAAAATTTCCAGATTGTGGCTAGACAAGCAGCATGCGAGTCGGCACATCGACATAAAAATGCATAACCTTGGGGCGCAGGGTTTGGATTTCGGGTTGCAGAGTCTGGTTAAGCAGTTTTCGACCCATGGGACTTGGCGAGCGGTTGACGTCGATGCGTTCGAACGCAATCCCAACGGGCCGGAATCGCATGTACATGCTTGTCTGATCAGTCTCACCTTTGTTTCACATCTCAGAAACACCACTGTTCACTGTCGTCAAATGAACATGCTACTCGCGAGTCAAAACTCTGACGCTTTCACACAAAGTGGCAAACGCTCCTGCCACCGCATTTTTCCCTCTGCACGGACGCGTTCCACATGTGGAAGGGTCAGCATTTCGCTGTGCTGTATGATGTTTGGACAGAGCTCGCGGAGCAGCGACTCCTTCGCCACTGTTGGCGGAATGCCAAGGATGCAGTCGCACGCATTGCGGCTGGGCCGCACTTCGACCCTAATGTCAGTTTTGAAGTTCATGTGGAGCCGGCTGTTGCTTGGCTGGCGAAGAGTGCCATGCTGGCGCCACCTTGCAGCCTCCTGGGCCCTGCGGTGTCAGCTGTTACTTTGGAAAGACCACCAGGACTTTCGGCCCCCCGGACCAGACCCAAGGCGAAATCCAGCGTCAGCCCGCGCACTTTGCTCATGTCGGCTGTTGTTCTCGGCAATTTCGGTTTGGATAACACTTTCAGAGTTGATGGGATGACGATTTGTGAAAGATGCAAGAAGATCTCGAAGCGTTTTCGAGCTTCATGATACGACCGAATGTTTTAAACTTGAGGGACATCCTGGGTACAACCCAGGTTCAACACAGGGTTGAACCCGGGTAAGAATCCAAGTTAGAACCTTCCAACTTCAAACCCAGGTTCGAACCCCGGTTCAAAACCCAGTTTCGAAACCCAAGCTCCAACCTATTCACAAGTTTGCAAGTGTGGGTTGCGCCCCCCCACATCAGCTTTCTTTCAACTGCAAAATCTGCTGCGACCGACAACAAAAAAGGTAAAAGAAGCAGGCACAGGTTGTTTTAGGGGTGTCAAAGGTGAAGAACACAAACAAGGCATCTTTAAAAGTAAAGGTTATAAATCAAAAGGAATCGAAACATCTTCTACATCGTTTCAAAGGGGCAACAAGGGGCAACAAGCTTTCTCTCTCAGCGCACAGAGCAAGTCCACAAGTGAGACCACTTGTCAGCAGCCCTCTTAGCTGTTTAAAGGGACAATACGCAAAGGGAACAAAGTTAAAAAAACGTTGACACGTCAAATTTCAATCCAGCGGCTTTTCCGACAAACATGAGCACCCGAAATTGTGAAAACTTTTCAAAAACATCAAATTTCGAAACAACTTCAAGCCCAGGTTTGTTTATGGTTCAATGCAAGGGAGGTTCACCTTGGCTTGAAAATCGTTCATGTAGAGCTGTGTTCTGATCCCGGTTCAATCTAGTCCAATAGGTCTCTCTCTCTCGAAGGCGAAAAGCGAGTCCAAGTCTAGACCACTTGTCAGCAGTCCTATCTAGCAGGGGGCTCCTTTTTAGGGGATCATCGGGGATGCACAAGCTGCCTCCATTTTGATCGGTCGAGGGAGATCGGCTGT